AGGTGGATCTTTTGAGAACCCTGAGCCCCCCTGCAAGTGCTTCTCGGAGCAGGTGGGCCTGGCAACAGGGCGTCCACGGCAACGGGCGGCGGAAGTGGACGTTTGGAGAGGTGGACCTTCTTGGTCGCTGGGAAGACTGCGCCAAGTCCAGTCATGACTCCTTGACCCCCTCAGGCGTGGTGGATCATGACTACCAGGTGGGGTATGAGCGAAAACAGGAGTTCTGGTTTTCCATGGAAGCCGACGTTCTTTTGCACACGTGTGCGAGATCCAGTTCCAGCGATCATGACTGATCCAGTTTCAGGGATCACTGCCCATCTGGGGATGAAAAAAAATTGCAATGTTCCGCAGTTTGTCCACCTGGTCTATTCTTGGAGAGTTAACGGTTTCCACCGGTGTCGGGATGGAAAACCCTGTCACAACCTTGTCAATATTAGGTGAACACTGAACACCCAATAAAATCAACTGGGTGGGTCCCTTTTGCGAGTCATTTGTCATTTATCTGCGAACTCAAAGCAGGCCACAGTGCAAAAACAGCATGCGAGGATTCAAATTCTCTTTGCAACATCCAAAATTGATAGAGCTCAGCCACCACCTACTTGAAGGGTCAGCTATCCGTTTGGACCTTAATCAGAGTGAGCTTGGGCATCCCATTATAGACCAGTATGCCACAGTGGATGATGATGGTTAGATTGCAGGGATTTCGAGTAATGGGCCATGGGACACACCCTAACCCAAGTTATCGCTCACTTCTTGCGCTCGTGCTGCTGGACGCGCCGCCCGCCCCCCGCACCCATGTCTGGGTTTCGATCAGGAGGCGCCATGTGGAAGGGTCAGCGAGCTGATTCCGGGCTGAGTCCATCCCAATTCACCAAGACTCGCCAGGATCGCGTGAAGGCACCCGGCACCGCAAAGAGCACGCCCTTTTTGCCTAGCAAAAGGCCATTGCAGTGGGCAGTCCAAACGAGATGTTTGGTGGTTGTCCATGGTTGTCCTTAGCACGCCAAACAAAACAATGGGAAAATGACAATGCATCAAGTTGTTTGAGTGCTCGCTCACTCTGGTCTGGTAGGTTGTTTGGGTCAATCCCTCGTACCGGTCGATGATGAGTTGGAGGGACTGTCAGTGGCACCCAGTCAGACCGTCGGAACACCCGAGCGAGTGGCATAAGTCCTGGCCAGGACAAGTCCTGGCCACCTGCTCGAGCAGGCAAACCAACCCCAGCATTGGAGAAGGATCACAAGCATCGTTCAGGCTCACGGATCTCTAAGGTGTGTTTGGTGTTGAGTCTCCAAACATATCTCAGGGACTTCGATATCCCAGGGACCTGTCTATCAACACATTCTAATTTCTACAGTGACATCATCGGTTGCCGCCCTTAAACCCACCGAAATGGAGTGAAGTGACACGTGCACCGGACTCAAACCTCTCTGTCTCCCACCGAAGACATGGTGATGTAAACTGGTCGTTCCACATGTCGTCGTCTGATGCGTTGGCTGAACTCATCGTTCGTCAATCATGTGAGATTCGTGCAAGGCTGATTGTCCTGGCCCCGGCAAGGCCTTTCTTCTGGCACATGAGCTCAGCTCTGGGTGGTGTCTTTTTGGAAGAGCAACCGACTCCCTTTCACACCAAACTGAACACTTCAAGTAGATTCTGCTGATGCATCCCAACTCACCTTAGCCACACGGGAAACCTCCAAACAAACAGTTACAAGTTCCACCCAAAGAACAACTTTCAATTTGACAGGTCACTTGGGGGTGCCCCCTTCGCTCCCTTCCTACTTTCCGGTTGCTTTCTTCAGGCCACATCATGGGTTCCATGGCCACATCTTGATTCATCCATGAGGTCTACCTGTTTGAACTTCCCTTCCTACCATGAGTCCTTGTAAAGGCCTCTTCGACCTCTTCGACCTCTTCGACCTCGTCGTCGCGGCCGAAAACCCACCCCGGACCGCGCGACCAGACACGGACCGACATCACCACGGACACGGATCCGCCTTTGAAGAGCTCGGCGACGTTCACCGCCTCACCGGGCCTCGGTCCGCGGAGCGGAGCGGAGGCCCAGCAAGGAAAACAGATCTATTCTCATGAAGTGGGGATTCATTCATTGGAAAACTAACAGTGTATATAACTAAATATTAGCAGATCTACATGACCCCGCTTGCATCACTTCAGCTTCACACCGAGAAGAGCACGTGGACGGCCTCCCTGGAACTAACATGGACCATCGGCCCCGAAAGGAAGACCCGTTTTTCTCCACCAACAGGTGGTGCCATCCACTTCCAGCTTTGTTGGGAGGGAGGGTAGGCCATGGAATGGCACCTCCTTGGATCCCTCGAGCTCCAAACCAAACAAAGCCTCCGACCCCCTTGTGGGCCCACCCTACTGTGCGGCCACCGGTTGGCCCGGAGGCAGCGCCCTGTGCGCCCCGGGCTTGCCCTCGTCGATCTCCACGGAGGGCAGTGAATCCCCTTCCTTGGCCTGGAGGGCGACCGCCAAGGGCGACGACTCCAGGGACCGGGGGCCCGTCAAGGCACACCCATGCACACACACCCAGCCAGGCCCGTCTAGCAATGGAACGTGTACTTTCAGCCAGGGCCTTTAGGGGGTGTACCGCCCAGGGAAAGCAGAGCTTTGCCGCTCAGAGGCACCACTTGCCAACCATCCGGCCTGGCGTGCAATGCTGATGCGGCACTGGGGGCCTCGGTGGCGGAAGGCGGATGGCTATCACTGGGCCAAGTTGCAGAAGGCCTCTTGGAAGAGGGGTGCCTGGTCCATTGAAAAGCCCTTTGGAGATCTTTGGTCGTCCAGTCGTCCAGCGACCCATTTCTACTCAGCTTTGCGTCTTGACACGTCCAAGGAATGCCTTCTCAAGTAAATTAAGATAAGGAGGGCCCTGTTAGACACGGTGCAGAGTTGGAAGGGTCTTATTGCTTGACATCTGTCACCACTGTTTCCGAACTCTGAAATACAGTGGCATGATACTTCTGGCTGATAGGTTAGCATCAAAGTGAGTAAAGAAAGTGCCTTCTCAGCTCTAGGAGAGAAAGAAGTACTTGGTGCAGTGCCTGCACTCCCTAGGACGAAGCACACAAAGGCGATGTGCAATTCACTCGTGGCCACCTGAACACTTACAACGTGTTGTGCGTTCTTGTTATTTTAAACAACAAGTCCTGTTTTTGTAGCTTCGCTATACTTGTCGTGGGCTTTCCCTCTCTCTCTCTTTCTCTCTCTTTGTGGGCCTTTGCAGCCTCTGCATCAACCGCGCCTGCATTGGGGCTGGCGGTGCCAACGAAGGACTCAGATGTGCCGAAGAAGGACCTGCCAAAACTCGCCGAAGGAACACCAAGGACTGACCGAAGACGAAGACGAACATGGAACGTGAGTGACGTGAGACTTGGGTATATCCGGTATATGGTATATCCCATTCTGATGATGATGATGATGATGATGATGATGATGATGATGATGATTATAATTATTACTATTTGTAGCAAAAAGGCCTTTCTCAAGAAATGCTGCTAATCTTTTGTCGACTCTTATGTACGGCCATGGGACACAACCGAGACCGTGAACCAGCAGAAGTCACCAGATCTGCACCCGGTCCGGTTGGCACCGGTAGGCATTCAATCGGTTCTTGGTGGTCCCCCAAAGGGATGACCGTGGCACGGTTTCCAATAGACACAGACAGTTCTCCTCGGCTCAGTTCTACGTGGGATGACCCGAACGTCTATCTACTTGGCTGTCTATATAGTTCACGTTGGTCACTTCTCAGATCTCTTTTGCCGAGACGAGTTTCGTCCCCCATGAAAACCCCCCACATCTTCGGAACAGCAAAAGGACCTGATGGAGGTCCCGTTGGCCCCTTGTTGACTTCCCAAAACGAATCGATGGGGCGGCACAGATGACACAAATGACCAGAGCACTGATTGGTATGTCACTTCCAGACAAACACCCGACAACTAAGACTGAGGAATCTAACATCTCGAACCTTGAACATGCTCCTGTCTGTTGCCCCTGCACGCTGCACGAATCTTGAATCCTATACTTAAAAATGACATGTTTGACTTCATCTCCCCACAAAAACGTCGAAGAATCAGATCCCCATCAACATCCGGTTCATTCCCCCTTTCTTTGCTCCAGCCCGGAGGCTTCTTCCAACCCGCACCGCAGTTGTTGGGCGAAACGTCGCGGCTGGTTCACCCCCGGTACCCACTGCGTACCTCAGGAGAGCCACAGCTCCCAGGAGCACCACCAAGCGTCCGCTTTGACGACCCATGCTTCCGTGTCTGGAGAAGGGAGGAAGGGAGCAGGGCTTTTCGACCCGGGCAGTTTTCTTTGTGTTTTTTGATCCCTTTGGAAGCCAGGTGGGCGAACAGAAGCCGTCTTCGGAAAAGGTGGGGCGGCACAGAATCGGCCATTGGAAGCATCCAACTGACTGCACCATGGCAGATAAGGAGAGTAGACCCGCCAAAGAACAGACCACATCCAACCCCTGCCAAGACTTGGAGCTTGAATCCCAGATCTCTCACGGAATAAAACAAACTGCAAATGAACCGCAATCTTCTCTCTCCACCATGGTGGTCCGCTTCTTAGGTTTTGGCCCCAAAGAGATGCCAAGACAGTTCAAGATTCTCCAGTAACAAGCCTAGGTGTTCCCAAATCAGTCCTTCACCGCCAAAGGGGCATGTGCATGGCCCGCTTTGACCCTGGTGTTTCGGTCGACTCTGCCTGAGCGAGTTGATCTCGGCGAGCGGCTTTCTGGGCGACTTTGAACCCACAGCGGCGGCGAGAGCTGCTGTGCTTTGCTGTGCTCAACTGGTTTCCCTGGCACGGGCAGAAGCCATCCAACATTCACCTGCCAACAACGAACCAACCAAGAATACAATGGGAACCAACTGCGCAACGCTTAGACCGTCACAAACCCTGCTAGCAGGCCCCTGCCAGCAGGCCCCTGCTAGCACACCCCTGCTTCTACCAGTTCCGCAGGGCAGCGTCCTCCCAGCTCTCGTTCTTCCAATGCCAAGAGCCCCAACCTTGCATGCCAAGGTTGCACCATTGGAAACGCGCCATCCAGTTGGGGATCCAAATGAAATCAAGTGAAGAATGAACTCTTCAACCAGATGGTCGAAACAATGGGCCATACAAGCAATAACTTGAAACTGAGCGTCTTTGCGAAGGTAAATAATGTCTTGAAATCATAGGATACCGTGGACGATAGTCATGCTTCCCGTCACCTCCAAGGTTTGGGATACTAAATTTGGAACCACACAGCCACACAGCCACTTCTGACTTTGGGAGCCTGCACAACCCGCTGGCTCAAAACTCTTGCCGCACCAAGTCAGGGATATCTCCGAAGCAAAGGATCTCTGTCTTTGCCAAAACCCTCCAAGCACCGATTGCTGAGCCCAGCCTACCTCGATTTCTCTCACACCCTAGAGATCTGCCCATGCCCTTGTACGATCCAAACAGCGGTCCTTAGGCCGGTGTCGGGGGATCTTCAGATTTCACCAACCTCAAACAAAAAAAAACTATAGAGTCCTGGATACACAATCACAAACAGAAGCAGCAGCAGCAGCAGCGGCGGCAGCAGTAGCAGCCGTAGCGAGAAAGGTCCCTTGATGCAGGTAGCTTCACCGGCCACCACCTCCTCGGCTCCTTGCACGCCTCCGGTGGTCCAATCATCCCCACTCCACCAGTTCCAAGACCTCAGTGAATCCACAGACTTCGAAACCACCAGACGCTGGTCGCTGCCAGGAAGAAGGCTCCTGCTCGCACGCACACGCTCGCACTGGTGCGGCCCCTTTTTTGGAGCTCCCTCCAGATCTCAAAAGCGCACGGACGACAACGAAGAACTGCTGGGGGTCCCAACCACTTCGTCTCCCAGGTGTTGACCAGCTCCAGCGACGTTGCATCGGGTTCCACATGAGGATTCCTCAGGGGTGGCGCCACATCAAGCGCTGTTGACGGTGTTTTTTTGTTTTAGCGGCGTTGGTGCAGGAAGATGGTGGAGGCTTGACCGAAAAAATAGGGAGGTAGTGGGAGAGCCTATCACCAAAAGACTGGGATGAAATTTTATCCAAAGGCTTGGGGAGCATGCGGATTGGATGGGTTTCAAGCTCTGGCTCAAAGTTGCCCGTATGGGCCCCAGAGCTCCCAGAAGCTGCTTCCCGTACTGCGTGTGTACTACAAAGTTGCCAGTTTCGAGCCGGTAGCCAGGCTCCCAGAAGCTACTTCCTCCAGTAGATTTTCCACGTTTGTGGGACACGTTGGCAACTTCGACCGTGATTTTTGATGACAGTTGCACACTTTGGTGCACACCTTGGCAACTTGTCCACTCTGGTTTTCGACAACAAGTGCACACTTTGGCCACTACCTTCATTTTCGACAGACACACATTTTGGCAACTAAGCCTCACCTTCATGTTTCACAACCACAGATACACACTTTGGCCGCTTCCACCCTTCATTCTCGACCACCACAGCTAGACCTTTTGCCCACTTCCACCTTCATGTTCGACGACAGATACACCCTCTGGCCATTTCCACTTTCTTTTTCGACGACAGTTGCACAACTTGGCAACTCGACACGTGCGATCTCCGCAGGGGGTCGTCCCAGGTCAAAAACGATTCGCATTACTATACTATTGCTATTGCTACAGTTTCGCGCATCCGACGTGCACATCATGATGATGATGATGATGATGAGGAGGAGGAGGAGGAGGAGGATCAGGAGGAGGAGGAGGAGGAGGACGACGACGACGATGACGATAATTAGACAGTTGAAGCGGTTAGCCGCTCTTTAAAACAAAATGCAGGTGCTTTCGGTATCTTGGAAAAAAAGAAACCCAGAGATCGATCTTGAAAGGAAGAACCGTGTATTGTGCGGTGCTCCAAAAAGGGTATACTCAGTACTACATAGTCACCCAAAAGGTCGGTTTGTCGAGATTTCTGGCTTGCCCGGCCGCTTGCACCCCAGCTCACTTAAACTCACTGCCCACCTCCTGAGTAGACTACGAACTACAACAAATTGGACGACCTACCTCCCACCCCTTTTGAAGTTTCGAGGCACTCGCTGCCAAACATGCAGCGGGGCATACAAAAAGAGCACTAATTAGAAGGTTTTGCCTGACCCCTCCCATCAGCCCCAGCCCAGTTCGACCCTCCCTGCAACATGAGGCACTCCAAGACCTTCATGTCCGCCGCGAGCTCCAGCACTCTACGTCGCACCACCGCACCCAAGCGCCAGGGCTCCTCCGGCCGCCCGGGTCCGTGGCACGGCAAACAGTCCTGGCAGGTTCGGTTCTGCAGCAGTTTTTGGGACTGGAGATGTGGCAGGCTTAGGGTGCCTGGAAAGGGCCTGGAGGGCGAGGTGAAGGACCTCCGCCCTGCACAGAATCCGAGATGGTTCAACAGGAGGCAAGATGGGCAGCTTGCCTGCGAACTCTCTGCGAACTAATCACTGCTTCTAACCGCCTCAGCTGTCAGGTGCGCTGTCAGCCTCTGCTTCCACGCTCTCCGGGCGCCCTGTTCAATCCGATGAAGACCACAGCTCGCAAGCGAACCCGCACCGATGCACTGCGCATTGGACAGACTTGAGAAAGGGACTCGAAATGTCGACCAAAACAGCTGAGTGAAGGAAGGGACAGGTCACACCTGACTGTACAGAATGTTCAGCTCAGCGCCTAGTTAGCACAATCCTCTTGCCACTGCTCACGTGATCCAAAATGGCCCCAACCGCAATGTTGCCCGGCCTCGAATTGAACTCTTTCAGGGCGGAATCATAGCAACGGTGCGGGCATGAAGTCGTCCCGTTCCATGATAGAAACGGTTCTTTCTGTGGCTAAACTGTTCTACCAACGGTTCTGCGTTCCCAAAAACCTTCTGCGAACCGTTCGACAAACTCCTGTGTCAGTTCACAGCAACAGCACTACCTTGCCCGCCTACTCCTAAGGCGCCACGTCTGCTCCCTTCCTTGCACAACAAAGCGGTGTCATCTTTCATGGCTTCACCAGTGGTGTTCACCAATGCTCCAGTCGCCATGCACCTGTCCAAGCGTCGCAACCCCTCGGCCTTGGAGAAGTCTGCGTTGGGTCATCTTTGTTCTACCAGTACCATTCTTCCTGCTGGTGCGTCGAGAGACTCTAGCCTTCATCCCGAAAAAGTACCGTTCTTCCGCAATTTGGACGGAACATGCTCTCCTCAGGCTGCAAGTCGCCAGGTATCCGTTCATTTCTGGCGTCTTTGGCCACGTGCTTTAATTTAGGACAAAATCAAAGAACCATCTCTGAGGACACAGGCGTCTTCACGCTATCACAGTCCGGAGCCTGTTCCTTTTTCACAAGCTTCCACTGTGAACGCCGTTGTGCCAACACTGGGTAGAAAATATGCTGTGGCAACTATGAATAACATACATAATCTCACAGGAATCTTTGGGGGCGTCTACCAGTATACGCGAATACTGAGGATCCACTTGGGCAAGCGAACACGAAGCGAACTCGACACGTTTTCGGCTGGCAACCGCTGTGCTTTTCATCCACGGACCTCCTCCTCCTTCCGCTCTTCCGACCGCTCCGACCTCTTCCGTTTCCGCTCCCGGCTACCCCCCCGCTTTGGCACGGCCTTCAAGGGCACGGTCTTCGTGATCTTGTACCTCTGCTCCGGACCCCTCCAGTCGCCGCTGATCGCCACACGGGCGGACTCCCGCTGCAGGCAGAGCAGACCCACCACCTCAGGATTGGAAGGACGCATCGTTTTGACACGTTGATGCCGTTTTTTTTCGGGAAGAGATATAGCTTGACACCTAACGCGTTACCCTCTATGAACTTCGCCAACGGAGCCGCAACGGAGCTGGAACGCGGGCGTTGGAGAGCTGGCGCCATGGACTAGGGCATCTGAGTCTTTATCTGCGAGGAAGGGGTCAGCAAAATTCAGGGATCAAAGGAGGATGTTCCAGAAAAAGTTACGCCAGCATAGACCCGCCCCAGCTGCAAATGCACGCATTGTGTTCATCTGTATTCCCGGATCCTGCGAAAACAACTCTATCTTCCCTTCCTTCTCCTTCTCATCGTCAAACCAACATCATTGTCATCTTGTGATAGTCCAGAACAACAAAATCTGCCTGGCCGTCATCATAGACTGTCACAGACATAAGCATTATTGCTGCAGCAGCAGCAGCAGCAGCAGCATCATTCAACATCACCATATCATATCACCATCAACATCATCAAGTCCTCATCATTGCCACCCCAAAGGCTCAATCGACCCTCCCTAGAGTTTTGACCCTCACAACTTTTTGGGTCTTGGACCGAACCAACATGCAGCAGGTTCGGATCCCTGAACCCATGGGTATCATGATAACCCCGCCAGCATCACGGTGCACCGATACAACCTTGCCGGTTCGAACAAAAGCTTACACGTCGACAAGCACAACTGCATGAAGGTGTGAAGGTGAATGGATACAGTGCATGAAGGTGTCTAGATATGGTGTAGAAATATAGGTAGAACTGTATAGATACAGGTGTACAGGTGTACTGTATAAATCCTGGTGTAGAAATACACGTCTGTTTAGATACACATGTAAAAAACTTCAACAAAAGGCATACAACTTTGGTATTCTTTCGTAGTTCCCTTATGGCAACAGGGTGGCTTACGAAATGTGACCCCTCTGCGGAGATCGGGGCATGTCGAATGCGCTGCTCACATCGTGATTTTGGATCGCATCGGAGATCGTTGTTTTGCGAAACACACAGAAAAAGCTAAACATGCATCGTTTTCTTTACAAAAACCAAAACATCGTTCATTCATGCAAATTCCTGTTCATCTTCTTGCTCCTGCAGCGTTTCGTTCTTCGTCGTTCATTTCCACGTGGCCCTCTACTGTACTGTACGACTACATTCGCTTGGCTACCTAGACAAGCACCCACTAAAGTTGTAGAAGCAAAGGTGTAGTCAGGTGCAAAAGTCGTTTGTTCACGTGGCAACTCTTCACTCAGCTGCTCGCTGAGCCACTGCTTGGTGCGGCAGGTTCTTCTCTTCAGGCGCCTCCGGCCACTCGAAAACCGAGTCGTCGGAGGCCTCCGACTCGCCCAGCGGCCCCACATGGAGAGCGTACCTTGGCCCAGCAGCCCAGCGTTCATCGGAATTCATTCGTGCGCGTGGCCATTCTGACGGGGGCAGGCGGGTTGGCGGATGGACCAAAGCCAACGCTTTGGTTGGCAAAAGATGGGGAATCGATGCGGTCCGCGGTCGTTTTGAAAGACTCCAGACTTGTGCCTCTAAATGAGAATGCCCAAGCCTGTTTCATCTTGGGCCCTTCACTCCAACTTCAAACCACCCAAAGGCACTTCAACGTCACTACGAGCATGCAAAGCATTGCAAAGCTCAGCCGATGACCAGGGCTCCTAGGTGTTGCTTCCAAGGTCAGCATCATTTCTCACGGTCTACCTCGGTCTACAGTATACCATCGATTTCAAGACCCCCACATCCAGTGATAGGACCCCCACCCGAACCCCTCGACCCACGGCGTCGCCTCGTCCCCGGGGACGTCCACGTCGTAAGGTCCCCCGGCCATCCATCTGGGAAGAGGGCCCTTCTGCGCAAGGTGGTCCGATGGCCCACCAGGATGGCCAGCGCCACTTGGGCTCTCCTCGACCGCGAGGGTGGACCCCTGGGCCCCTCCGTTTTGGCGGGAGAAGAAAAGCAGAGACTCGCAGAGACCAGGTAAGGTGGATGGGTTGGAGATGTTTGGATGGTTCGACAGCTTGTTCTTGCTTGGCTTTTAGTTCGGTTGTCTTAGGTTCGCTTCTGGTGCTGCGTTGCAATGCGTGGTTGCTAGGTAGCTTCTCACCACACTTGGCCCTTCAACTTCCGCTCCACCCATCCACCCAGCTCACACCCATGTCTCGTCTCCTCAGGGTCACGCCATCCGTGACCTCCCCAGGCATCTTGGCAGCACACGGCCGCCAGCCCAGCAACTCCCAGCGCAACACGCACTTCTGACAACTCCAATGGCCATCCAGGTCGGTCCGCCCACCTGGCCGGACTACAAGGCTGACGAAGCGTCTAGACGAAGCTGGTGATGGTGAAGTTTTGGGTGAGACATCGGGGGGTCCCAAGATCATGATCTCAAGCCCGGTCCGAAGCGTTGGGAAAAAATACGACGGACAGACTGTCTTGGGCAAATTTGTTGCTGACCCTCGACTTGTCTCGACTTTGCCCTCCAGCACAGATATGGAACCATGTGGAACACCCGCCCACTTCTTAGAAGAACCTCTTATACAACCTCTTCCTTTAAGTCCCTTTATTAAGTCTCTTTAAAAGGCCTCCATCCATCATGCCGTCCCCACCACGGGGCTCCCCACCACCGGGCTCGGCCATGCGACGACAGACCTCGCGGCATCGAGTCCACCTATCATCGGCATCCCGATCGCGATGGCAAGGTTCTCAGAGAATCTGACCGAGAAGCAGCAAAACTAGTACCTGGCCATGGATTGAGTAATGAATCTTTCTCACGTAAGAAAAAGAAGATCGTGAGAAAAATTCATTACTCAATCCCGCCGCAAATCTGGGGGAAAACCGACGGGTCCGTCGCGATGGTGTTTCATTCCCCTTCGTCTGGCATGGCGCCATGAGGCGGCGCCGTGTTTTCAGGGGTTCCGACGGTGGGTGGTTTAAAAGATGAGCCCGGATGCCAAGCCAAACATCCAGACCTTGAGGCCTTATAGATGTGATCCCACTTGCATCAGCTTGCGTAACGTTCGCGGAAAAGCCAGCCATCGAGCATCCAGTGTGCAGCTTTGGCACCCAAAATCTGCCAACATGTTGGTTGTTTCCATGAGCCAACATCCACATGTGGTACATGAGCCATCAAGGCCTGACACCTTCCTCACATCCAAAGCACACGAACTCCTCCAACTCCTGAGGCCCGGTTTGATGCTACGCCCCACAGCCCCAGGCCTCACACTGGCGCGGTTCAGATGCAGAGGAAGGATCTTGGAAGACAATCTCGGAGAAGGACCCTGACCAGGTTGGCTGGACGACGTGGGACTTCTCAAGAGGGGAAGTATTGGCTCTACATGACGATATGGATGTATATTGATATTGAAGTAGGGAGACCCTTTGAGACCTGGTCAAAGGGAGGAAGATTGGACTTCAAAATTCAGTGGTCCGTTTTTTGTCTTTTTTTGGCCTGGGTCTTTCCCAGATGTGCAGGTTGAAGGGTCTTTGCACTGCTCCCGAAACTCGAGTTTGTAGCAGGAATCTGCATGTTTCAGGGTCTTGCACAGCGTGGAACAGCTGCAGACAAAGAACGCATTCAACAGCATTGTCCCTGGTCCAGCGGGAGATGTCAGCTTAGCCATTCCAATGGACATGAATCCAAATACAGGAAGCCAGCTTATCCAAAGGACTTGGACAGGCGACCAAATGGCCACGGAGACCTATGGCGATCTTAGGTCTTGCCCGGATCTGACCCATCGGACGCACCAAGAACTGCTGCACCGTGCTGCACCAGCTGAAATCGGATGCACCGACGGTGGAAACCGCGGCGGGACGGAGGTGGAAGCGGCGTAACCAGACGTCTCGTCATGGCACACGGAGGCGCCGTGTGGATCTTTGAAGCAAACTTCGGCTGCAATGATTTGGTGCTTTCGCCGTGGCAAAAAGAACCTTCTCATAGGCCGGCAGAGAGTGTGAAAACAACGTATTCTCATTGCTTCGCCCATACAATTACAAGGATAATGCAGCAAGGCTTTGGTCATGAAAAAACTCGTGCTCCTGACAATGTCTGATTGTTTGGGCTGCTTCCATTCCAAGACCCCCCAAAAAAATCCTTTGGAGAGGAAGTCAGAGTCCAGACGTTTTGCAAAAATCATATGGCTTGAAGTCTGAAAAGTCCATTTCCACGGCGGGAGGGACAGACGTCACCAGTCACTTCGAGCACCGAGCATCACCTCGCGAGGCCAGCCTGGCCTTCAGTCTCGAACTGCTCTGCGAGCCAATTCCAGGCATCTGGGATATATGGGACAACACACCGTGTGTAGCTGACCTCAGCAACCCCTGGAGAGTCAGGCATTCGTTCCCGCACGGAAGGTTCGGGAAATAGACGCAAAACATCTCAAAACTCATGGGCCAGGGGGGCAGGGGGTCTCCCTATTAAGTATTTACACACCCAGACCCAGATGCATCGCACAGACCAGCTGAAAAAGTGGCTCTTCAAGTGGCTCTTCAAGCCACGTGCGTGCCACGTGTCACAAAACCACCACTCCGGACTTGAGCACCAGCCGATTCGCCGATGAACAGGAACCGTAAGTCAAGTCCTTTCCTCTTCTTTGAACAGCTCTTCTTATGCGAACCTGTAGCATCTCTGCAGCTTGAGCTCAGAACCGCCCCTTCCAAAGCCTTCATGTGAATTCACCAGCACCCGGCTGGACGACCTCCACTGGTGCCACGGTGGCTCCGGCCCCCCCCCCGTTGGGCCTGACAAGGACACGGGGAGCTTCACCTGAACCCCTGGCCGAGCTCCCCGGAGACCGGATGTTCCTCCGTCTTGCACTTCGATCCAGGGCTGTTTTTTTCGTTTCGGAGTTCTTAGGCGTTTTTTCAGGGTGGTGTCGTCCCTCAGGGGTGTCCCAGGTGTCCACATCAGGCGTTTCCCCAAAAACACATCCTGCATCTGTATTGTAACATATATGTCTTACATGGGTGTCTGGTGGTGTTGGATCAAACCACGCACAAGGGTAGCACAGCTTGACCCATGTGTGGTACTCGAAACCGATCTACCGAGAAAATGGCTTATAGTCAACTAAGTAAATATCCCTGGAAGTCCAAGACTGTGCTTAAAATGGTCTTTAGGTGAACTGAATTTCAGGAATGTCCTTTACTTTGGTGACTTGGTGTGCGCCAAAAACCGTCGATCTGGACTTCTAGTGACTTTCTAGGGTATCATATGTCCATTGCAATTCCTCTAGCCCAGTACTTGTCGTAGCTAGCCCCCATCCAGCTGCCGTAGCTGGATCCGTCCGGCATCTACCCACAGCCCCCAGTCGTTTCATTGCGCGTTCCCAAAAAGAGACCTGGTATCTAGTGGGCTAAGACCCTCAGTTAGCGGAGCAATGGCCAAAACAACCCAAACAGAACCACTCACTATAGCAGGCATATATGTCCATGTTTTTCTCTCTGAACCATTTCATCTCGTTTCTTCTTTTCGTTCTTCTCCCAACCGCCTCTCCTCCCCCCCAACCGAACTTGCCCAAACTCGCCACCGTCCTCCGCCGTGCTCCCGGCCTCGCTGGCCCCAGAGCTGCACCGTCAGGTTCGGCTCCTCTGCGCCGCCGGGGCGGCGCTGCGGCGGCACCTGGGGGGCGACCGGAGGGGGACGTGTCGGCGGGCGGTTTCGTCGGGTCGACTGGACCGGACAGAGCTGCGACTCTGGGGAGAGGGAGAGAATCGTTCTTGTTCACAGCACCGTTTTCTAAGGAACAATGACAGGTGTGTGTCTACATGTGGACTTGTTTCTACGAACTGCAAGCTTGAGATCCGAAATGACCCATTTCTGCTTGAGGATCAGATTCGCGAGGATGGCGGCGTGGCAGGGAAGCATGGGAAGCGGAGGTCCCATCCAATGAGCTCCCATTCTATCCCACGCTCCATGGGAAGTTGCTGTTCACAAAGCCTACCCAAATCCTGAGCCTACCCAAATCCTGAGCCAGGATGTGCCACCTCGGACTCCGCTCATGGTATGGAGACCCTGGCCCTGGCTGGGTAGACTGGTTGTGAGGTCTCCCTATTTTAAAAACACACCTAATAATTATATCCATTCTGAGTCCAACGCCTACTCGCCCGTCACACTGAGGCTCCGCGCACCATGCCTCCAACTGCTGTTGAAGGCCTGCGAGAGGCGTACGTGCTGTGATGACTCAATCTTGCTGGAGCCAATATAGTGTAGACTCTTGACTCTTGATTAAAAAACCTACCGTATGAAGAGGGGTTTTACAATTTTATGGGAGGTGTTATCAATGAAGAGTCTACATGGACCCATGGTCGCTCCAGGATGGCTGGAAATCCAGAGGGGGGTGTCCCCACGGTCGCGACCGAGAGGTCCCCAGCCTTGCCAAAGGCATAAACATCCCCGTTCTTCTGCGGGATGGCAAACTGAACCTGGCCAAGAACGGCCACGGGCTAGCTCGTTCCCTCGCTGAAACAGGGCACAAAAATCTCCAGAGGAAGAAACAGTGCGGAATTGATTTCAACAGTTTGTTCTCAAAACAAGATAAACCTACATAGACTTAGACTTGGTGTTCCCTGTAGCAGAGGAGCATGTTTCATGCTTTACACTTTGGGAGCCCATCAATGAGGGAGGTGTCATTGCCAAACAAAGGACCTGTGGCTCAAGTGGAAGGACTCTGAAGGAAGCAACTCAACCATCGGCCATGCCACGCTGCCCGGGTCTGTGCGAATGCGCTGTGGTTCCGATCTGCCTGTTGGCCGCTTGATCTCTCGAAGAGCAACTGCCGCTCCTGAAGGCAGCCCAATGAGCACGAAGTGGAAAAGTCTCAGAAATTTCATACCCTCAACCTTAGGTGAGGCCTCTGATTGAATTTTCTAGAGTTTTTGGTGTATGAATGCTCCAATGGCTCTCAGAATTAGCCTGAGCCAGTCCCCGAGTCGATCACGAATCTCTGCAGAAGCTGAGATGGTGGCCATCTTTTGCGTGGATCATTTCCTCCCGGAAGACTGATTGATCATTCGGACAGAATTCTCTGCCACACAGGTCAGCATGCGTCCTTGGCGGGTGAGCCTTTGATCCAGAGCTGTTTCAAAAACCTCAAAGGAACTGCTACAAGTGATTCGTCCAAAGACGCCACTCCGGGGCGTTTTTGCCGCCAAAAGAAAGCATCTTCATCTGCTTTCAATATTCACATGGGTGATCTCCCAAAGAATTCCCATAAAGAAGGAGGAAACCAAACCAGTCTGAGCAGGAAACAATGTTTCGACGTTTTGTGGCCGGTCATGGCCGGTCCTGCCCGAAGCTGATGCCAAGGCTGAAGTTCTCCTGGTCTTCATACCTCAAGTCGAAGCATTGAGTCAGAAATTCCCCCGGAATGCCTCCAAACGCAACATCTATCGCACTCCTTATCGGAGATTGGCAGGGTCCCTGGGTATCTGTTGGCAGAAAAAAAAATCCCATTACCAGGGCCCGGTCGATGATGGTTAGGTTCCAGGCCTTTCTCCAAAAAAACAGTGACAATTGTTCACCGACTTTAGAGGCCATAGATGGCCATAGGACAGACCCAAGTCCCAAGGTATATGATGTAATGGTCTGCTCTCATGTTGCCTCCTTGAGTTTCTGACCATTGATTAAAAGAGCATCCATTCTAAGGCTGAAATTCGAGTTCCCAGGTGGAGTGGCTATGAAGAAAAGATCTATCTAGCCCATTATGACATCACAACTACTCAACTCATTCACAGAAGGCCTAGAAACCCATGCATTCCGTCTTTACTCCAACTGGCAACTCACCTGACGATTGCGGTTATTTGCTGGGAAGATCGAGCTGTCGATCCCGCCGAATGGCTTGTAGCCCAGGCACAAGAGTTTGAAACCGGCCCTAGGCGCTCACCCGTGTACTATCACAAAGCGTTCTAGGTATTGCCTCATGAATGGCACTCTAAGCCTCTAAGCCCAAGGGAACATGGCTCAGACAAAAGTCCATATACCTGTGGCGTCCAAACGGGCTAATTACCTGGGTTGACCAAAGAAAATGAACAGAATAGACTCCCGAGCCTTCTGGGTTCAAGACCCTAGGGCTCACGCCTCACGGGGGCCGGGGCTCTTTTGCAGGTCTCGCGACCTGGGAGAGCGTCCAAAGAGCCTGCTTCTCCTGTAGGCACCTTCATTCTTGGTTCCTAGGTGTGGTGATTTTCCTAGCGCTTTTGCCATGGATTCCAGCTGCATTTTGGATCTTTTGGATGAACCGTGGCGCTCCCGCGCTCGCACGATCTTTGGTGGATTGGATGGTGGTCCCTCGCTGGACTGGGAGGATTGCCAAATCCTCTGCGGCACCTTCTGGAGCCGGGTGGATGATTGCTTTGAAGCATCTCTGTTCCCCTTTGTTAAGGGGCATGGTTTTCGTATGGATGGGCCTGCCCTTGATACCAAGTTGGTGATCCACGACTCAGCCAGGAGATCACTTAGCATTGCTTCCGGAGAGTGCTGCATCTTTGCTGGACCACTTGCTCGCCTTGAGGACGGGACCTGGAAAGGGGAAAACTCGGTCACGATTCTCAGGAGGACCTCGGCCGTCGAACATGATGCCATTGAATGCCTGCATTTGTTCGCTGGGGCATTTTCAGGGTGGAGTCAAGCGACCTTCACTATTCCATGGATTCTGCCTCAGACCACGATTGGCACCCAGGTTTTCGTCGACCTCGACTGTGATGTGATTGCAGCTTTGTCCATGAAACTAGGAATCAAACCGGTTCAAGCGCCTTTGACTGCCACCCAGGCCTTCGAGATCACTCTAAACAGGGTCATCCAGGGGGACGTTGCTGATCCTACCATTCTGCATTGTGTTCAACCACTTTCCAATTTGGTTTTCTCAGCCTCCCCGCCATGTGTATCCTGGAGCAAAGGCGGTTTCGGCCGTGGACTCAACTGTCCAGATGGATGGGCATTCGTAGAAGCGATCAAGCAGTGTGCGATCGGCCAACCTGTCCTTGTGATGTTCGAATGTGTCGATGCCTTGGCACAGCACTCTCATTTCAAGATCATCACCTCGATGCTTCGCGATTTAGGATATGTAGGAATTTGGGAGGATGTCGTTCATTATCATGCATTTGTCCACATGCACCGCTCCAGGTGGCTTGCATGCTTCGTTCGACATGACATCGTCCATCATGGTCCCAAACCGATGCCGAGTCTCAAGTCTGCCTTGCCAGAACGATGGACTTCGGAATCTTTTCGATTTCAGCTCCCTCGATCGTTGTCGGATCAAATTGCCATCCCGTCTCGGGTCCAGTCTGCCTATGCACAGCACTCGTTGCTACCACCAGCCAAGAGAGCCAAATTTGACCCTGCCGCTCCAGCTGAGGTCATCCTACGTGCAAGATTCCTGCAGCCTCATGAGCCGGTGCCTACGGTGTGCGCTGCCTATGGGTTTCAACATCTTCTCCCTCGACACCTCCTCGAGCAGAAAGGCATCTTCGCCACACTCAAAGATGGTGATGCAGGACCTGAATTCCTTGACCCGGCACTTCTTGCTGCGATGCTCGGCCTCTTCGAACCAACAGTACTGTCGAATCAGCTGCAACTCCTCTATCGCCAGATTGGGAATTCTATTGCGACACCCCATGCTCTTCTGGCGTTACTCGCTGGACTTGACTACCTCTTTCAATGGGGTCTGGATGTCAATGGAGCAATCAACAAGGTCTGGCAAAGGCGAATTGTTGGACAGAAGGCGATCATCATTGAACAGCGAGACTTCTACATCCTTGCTGGCCTCGATTCCATCATTGAGCAAATCACTGTCCGCAGTGACCTTGCGACAAATGATTCACATGTCACATTACACTGCCGGCATGTCAATGGCAGGATCGCCTATCTCATTGTCAAGCTGGCATGGACTGTCTCCGACCTCCTCAAGTGCTTTACTTGGAAGTTTGACATCTCAGCCCATGTCTACATTGCAGCCACAGGAGAGAGGCTCGTTCCATCCCAGACTGTTGGTCAGATCTTCGAGCAATACCATGAATGGACCCTCTTTGTCCGTACTTTTCCGATTGCCAGCCTGTCAATCTGCAAGGACTATGTCACCTGTGCGCCGACTCAAGATTGGCATGGGCCTCAACCTCTTTGTGACGCCATTCATGACCAGCCTTCTGATCCTTTCCGTCTCAAGCTCGTTGGAGATGATGACCTCTTCGCCGATACTCAGTTTCAGTTTGCCCTCTCCCTCCTTGAGAGCAGCTGTATCGAAGTCCCTTCTTTGAGTGCAACCACCTTCACGGTCACTTTTGGAACTACCCCGTGTACTCTCACCTTCAACGGCTTTGGTGACTCAGAAGCTCGACTACGCTGCATTCGTGAGTTATGGGATCATCTTGATCATGACACTCAGCATTTCGCTTTCAAGATTTATGACCATGGTGATTTGTTTCGACTTCCACCGCATGGGGTCGTCTTCCCCAAATTCACGGAAGACAGATTGGTGCTGCTTCATTTTGGGCCTCAGGATACCACGTGCGGCTTCTTCATTCCAACAAGGCTTGAATGTCCTCTCTTCGAGATTGGCCCCTACCGTTACCGGCTTATGTTCAAGAATGGAAGTGACCCTGGTCCACCACCCTTCCACTTCGACCACGGTGACTTCTTACACCTTACTCTGCAGAATGACATTCACTGTGGAGGACATCATGGAACTCGGTCCACTACTATCCCGGCTGGGGCAAATCTTCTGCAAAGAGCCGAATTTGCCAGCAACACTGGTGGCTGGCTTGCATCTGATGAGATGGCTTTCTTCCTGCGGCAACTGACATGGCTTGCACCTGAGTTTGCCATTTTCCATCCTGCCATTCGTTGGAATCTGGAGACGGCCAACCTTGATGCGAATGACTATCAGGAGATTCTCATTGCCAATAACCGGCTCAACATCCTTCCGATCCTCTCTGGTTCGCACTGGCTAGCCTTTGAGATCCAGCGAGAAGGGGCCAACACCCATGTCACCTTCGTTGGTCTCCCTGGGCCTTTGCTCAGAAGTGGTTTGCAAGTTGTTGCTGAACTCCTCGACATCACGCCCGAGAGGATCCAATATAGTCATGTCCCACTTGATGATGTCAACCATTTCTGTGGGTGGGCTCTACTACATCGGTGGACCACGGCTGCAGGGATGCTGGACCACATGCCGCTCAATGGTGACCTTTATGCCACTACCTCCATCGCTGCACGTGCTCTCATTGACGATGTTATCGAGGACTCTATTGAGGACTGGAACCAGCATGGCATCCCGCATGGGCTTTGGTTCTTTGCAGCCACTCTGCGTCGTGCTTTCTTCAGCTTCCTGGCTACCACTACTTTGAGGGGCAATGCAGTGTTGCAGGAGGCTATCACTGTTGTCTTTGATGATCTTGCTGCCGGTCCTCAACCTGAGGAGACACCAGCTATCCACATCGATAGCCCAGATAGCCACATACACCATCGCATTCAGCACTTCAACTCGTACCCGGGCTGGCTTGGATCAGATGAGCTGGATTTTGTCCTTCAAGCGATTCGTTTTCAGCGACCTCAATTCTGCTTCATGCCGCCGGCAAGATGGGACGCAGCCTCTGGAAACCTCTTCTACTTCGATGACCAACGACGAGATTTCAGAGCTTATCAGCATGTCACGTGGTTCATTCTCATTGAGCAGTGCTGGACTCAGATCGATGCACATGCTACCACTGCGACTATGACTCTGTTCATGAATTTGCCGGATGCACTTGCTCACCATGCTGGCCCTCTTGCCACCTTTATCATGTCGCAAATTGACGAAGCTCAGCTTACTTGCCAAGTACATATTGTGCGCTGCAATCCCGAGCCGAACATGTGTGGATGGGTTCTCCTCCACTCCTTGTGTGAGCGCCTTCGTATCGCAGTACCACCACTTGCAAATGAGGTGCAGCAGACCATCAACCTGTCACGATTTCGGGTGCAGATTCGAAGTACTGTTGAACGGGCTCGCTTGGTTTGGAATTTGTCCTCTTCGTTTCCTCGGATCACCAACTTTGCCAGTCTTGTGCGCACCAACTTCCTCCACTACCTCCTTGCCAACAGAGGAGCTCTACAATATGCTGCAGGAGGTGGAACTGAAAAGACCACGCCCACTGGCAATGCTGCTGCAGGGTCTGAGAAAATTGATCAGCTTCAAATCAATGATCCATGGGCCTCCAAGTCTGCCAAGCCCAAAAACCCTCGGAAGCTTTTTCAGACACCACCATCCCTGCGGATCACCCGCTACTTGATGAGAAGGGAATCCCTGTACCACAGGTTCATCGGCTGCAGGCCAGTGCCAAGAAAGCGGGCGCAGTTTTGGCT